CCCCGCTCTTACAGTGACCCCTTGTGGGCTACTGTAGTATGTGGTCTACAGAGCTAGAGCTATTATAGTATGTGGTCTACAGAGCTGGAGCTACTGTAGTATGTGGTCTACAGAGCTGGAGTTGTGCCTATATCAGGATATTTGCACTGTAGCATCTATGAACCTAACCTAACCTAGGTTATGTTATGTTATGTTAATGGATGCTTTAGTGTAAATATCCCGGTATATAACTCAAGCTCGGTAAACAACATACTATAGTACCTCTAGCTCTATAGACTGCATACTACAGTAACTCCAGCTCTGTAGATTGCATATTATAGAAGCTCCAGCTCTGTAGATTGCACACTATAGAAGCTCCAGCTCTGTAGATTGCATACTATAGAAGCTCCAGCTCTGTAGACTGCATACTACAGAAGCCAAAGCTCTGTAGACTGCATACTACAGTAGCTCCCAAATAACAATATCTATTTGGAATCTTTTAAATCTTCTTTTGGTGTTGTCTGGTGATAGTGATGATGTAGCCTCTGTCATCCGGTGGTGGTGGTGGTGATGTAGCCTCCTGTCACCTGGTGGTGGTGGTGATGTAGCCTCAGTCATCTGATGGTGATGTAGCCTCAGTCATCTGATGGTGATGTAGCCTCAGTCATCTGATGGTGATGTAGCCTCAGTCATCTGATGGTGATGTAGCCTCAGTCATCTGATGGTGATGTAGCCTCTTGTTATCTGGTGGTGGTGGTGTAGTCCCATGCCCCGATGTGGGCCAATGACCTGTGCCCGGGTGGGCACAGGTCACTGACCCACATTGAGGCATGGGGGGCGAAAATGTAATAGTAATAATAATAATAATAATAATAATAATAATTATAATAAAGAGCCATAAATACAAAAATTTTAAAAATATAAAAAGTGAGAAACAATATATGTATGTTGTGTTGTCAATAGTAAGATAAACAATTGAGACCCTGCAATTGTGTGTAAATGCGGCAGAAATTCAGATCAGCAACCTGGCACTTGGTCACAATTTTCGTGATGCCGCATGGCTTCCAATATCTTCCTAGGCTTGATTCATGTTATGAGGGAAACTGTTGCCACAAAATCACGGTCTCAGGAATTGTGTGGGATGCCACCCCTCTCCCCCATACCACTAGGAATGTTTAGGTGCCTCCTCTAGAATATTTTCATATTCAAATGCTTGCAAATGAATTATGGTGAATTTTTTAGATAATTCCTACACAATTCGTGTTAAATTTTAAAATGTTATTCAATCTTATTCTATAGTTTGTATTTCTATATACCTTTTCATTCTTATTATTATCTTGACTAGGCTGTGTGCCATTCTACCTGACTAGGTTAAGTTTCTTCATAGTACGGACATCACTGATAAACAAAGCAAATGTTACTGTATTGTACCAGGGACACTGCTGATGACTCGTTTGACTGGATGTATCTTATGCAGTGAATCCGTGATAATTCTAACTCGAACAAACAGATATTAAAAGCCAGTACGTGTCCAGTACTTGCCAACAGTGCATAACAGACACGACCGGCCACCCAAGCGGCTAACGAGCCGACAGTGGTTTAGAGGATAAAAGAAATTTCAAAGGTAACAACAAATAAAACAGCCAGAAGATGAAAGAATAACATGTTATTTTCAACATACAGACTTTTGAGAACACCTAATTACTTTTACAAAATTGTAAAAAAACACAAATACATAATTATCTCTTCCAAAGACCACATTTGACTGGAAACTGGTGACCGAAGGACGGTACAGTCTCACCCAAAAGTTCGTTAACTCTCCCAGCCAGTTATTGCTGCACTGCCTGCTTCAATGTATGAACTTGAGTCTGTTACTTCGAACCTTTAGATTCATTCGTATCGGTTTCATGTTCTGGTTGGTACTGAGACAGTTTCAAACATCTGAAGTAGGCAGTGCAGCAATAGCTGGCTGGGATAGTTAACGAACTTTTGGGTGAGACTGTACTTTACCTTTCACAAGGGTACGTTTACTTGTTAGTAACTACCAGTATGTACTTGGATCACTATGGCAACGGTGTTACACGTAGTTCACAACTGCCTTGTGACAAGGTTCATTATAATCTTTGGTATATACCTCATTATGACAAATATATTTTAAAGACTTTAAAATAATTTGTGGATCATATAGTAATCATGGGGCAGATTCTCAGAGATACTATGTTAATAATTACTAGGAACCGGGGGATTACAAAACCATAATATTTCGTTAACTAACGATATAACACAAAAATGGAACATTAAGCGGTGTCAAAATTATGTTGGGAATCCATCTGCTAGATGTGCTCGATCGTTGTTAAGGGGAAATGAATCTTCTATCTAGCCTGAGAATCAACATCTACAGTAGATGTACAAAGTCTGTACCCTTTAATCTTGTCATATGCAGTACACAGGTAATTACAGGAGGGAAAAAAATTATATAAATATACATAAACATACATACATATATATATATATATATATATATATATATATATATATATATATATATATATATATATATATATATATATATATATATATATATATATATATATATATATATATATATATATGTGTGTGTGTGTGTGTGTGTGTGTGTGTATGTGTGTAGCAGCAAAAATTTGGTTAAACTTAAACCAAATTGGCACTTGGCAATTCAGTGTCTTAAAAATGTGTAAGTAAACACAGGCAACGCTGGTTGTAGGTAACCTACACTGAATCGAGTTTATAATTATATTATAATGTTTCACCGAACCAGAAATATGCAGCTCTCAAAATTTAATCGTTCACGTTGATGACCATTTTACAATGTTAACGCTTCAAGACCTCAGCTGTCGAAGCACAGTAATTAATAAATCAGCATTTTTACTTGGTGGCCTAAGCCCTCTTTGCTCTCACTGTTGAATAAAAACCAACACAATGAGAAGAACTTTTGTAAATTTTCTGAATAAAAACACCATAATTGTTTTGAACTCGTCGTCATGTTTACGTTAGTCATGGAAAAACAAATAGTTATGAATAAATAAAGACTGTAAAATATATAAAAATTAAGTCATTGTCTAACGATTTTATTATTTTCCCCAGGAATTGATACAAAATATTGACTGGTGTTCTACATGCTGGCGTGACACACTGACTGGTTCCACGCGACCAGTAACTCTTAAAGCCTACCTTCACTCACGTGACATTGATATAATTCGTTGCTTCGTGTTCGTGATATGATAATGACACATGCCATGCCTGATAATATTTTAAATTATTCCATCCCATGGCATGACAATATTCTCTGCCCTATGACGTGACACCGACATTATTTCCTGCCTTACGATAGGACATGTAGTACAGTATACATAATACTCCATTTCTTAACATGACTGACACTTCCTTCCCTTATAACAAGATAATCATATACCCTCTGTGTTACGGCATCCCATTAAACAACACGATATGACACACCACTTACACAATTTTCTTCATCTTGGATACATGATCATCCTCTCCCTGTAAAATGATACAACTGATCTCCCTTGTGACGTGACATACTTCTCTACACCTTGATAAGACAGTCCCTATAGCGTTTTTACACTTCCCATTCCTCCTTCCTCAGGGCAGGGAACAGTTCTCAGCACCACGATATAACACCTATACTGGCATATTGTTGTGATGCTCTTCCTCCATTGTGACATGACTCATATCATTCCCCTTTAAGACCAACACAGTTTCTTCTCAACACAATAGAAAAAGAATAGTCCTAATAACTTTACAAAATGAAGAGATAAAACAGATTGTTTTTTTATATTTTCAGCGGGATCTACCGGGAGGAGGAGGACCTACCCGCAGAAGGGGACAAGTTCTTCTTTCCCAGTAGGAGGTTCAGAAGCAGAGAGAGAGAGAGAGAGAGAGACATTTCTGATGGTATGGATTTGGGAGCCTGTAAGGAGAGTTGCCACAGAGCCCTGAGATTACCCCTAGTGTTTGGAGTTGCAATGCAAACAATTAGAGAGAGAGAGAGAGAGAGAGAGAGAGAGTACTCCTCCCCTACAGCTACATACAGTGTTCTTGGATCCGCCACTGTAATAACAATCAAGATTTTTCGGTATTTAAGACACAGAATAAAGCAAACCTTCAGTGTGTGTGTGTGTGTGTGTGTGTGTCAGTTTGTTTCAAGACACTATGTGTATCTAGCTAGCTGATGCATTCTTTTCAATGGAAAAACAGAGAGAGAGAGAAGAGAAAAGGGAGAGAGACAAGAGAAGAGAGAAAAAGAACAAGAGAAAAGAGAGATAACAAGAGTCCCCAATACAAGAAACATTGGTGTGTGTAGATTTGGGACTCACTAATATATACACTGTACAATATGAGGAAGTATAATCATCTATATACACAAGATTCATTATCAAATATGAAGAAAAACATTATTATTCAAAATTTATGGTAAAACCAGAAAAATGTATTGCTATGCGCCCGCCAGAAGTAAAAACAAAAGTATTCCAAACACAAATCGGAACATAAAATGGAAAAGTTACATTGAAAGTATTTTGTTTGGACAGAAGTTTGTACTTTTATCATTCTTGTTTTGGAACAGTACACTTGAAAACACAGTAATGCAAACAATGAAATAGTTCATCTGTAATACAAAATATATAAGCAGTGGGCTCTCACACCAGGACAACCAAGACACCAAAATTAAACCATTGTCACAACACTACAAAGCTCACATGGCTGCAGAACGTTTTTTCTTCTAAGATAATCCGTTCCGTGTTCCGGCACAGAATCCATCAAAAACCCGCACAAGAAAAAATATTCATTAGTCTCGGTTTTGGTCCATTTTGTGTACATCAGGTCTCTTGGTGCATAGGCTGACTCGTTAAAATGTGAAAGTGTTTCATTAATGTGTTTAGATTTACAATAGTCAACAAACACAAACGTTGCAATAAAGCGATAATTATCAATATTATTACAGGCCTAAAGGAAACATATAATATTTTAACAGTATATATTCAAGTACATACGTACCCAAGAATCTCCCCAACTTACATCAATCACACTTACCAGAAGTCCTCTCTCTCATGTCAGATTTTCCTCTGATGACCCTCTTAGATACTGCTAGAGGGCGTGATACTGTACATGGTAGAACACGTTTTTTATTTCCAAATCTTTCTGATTTTCTCATTCACTGATTCTCTCTCTTTTAATGTTTGTATTCATCCTTCGCATTTTTCTTTTCCTGTGTCATTTCTCTCTCTGCACTATCAACAAGAAGCACTAAGTAAGCTGGGGATATGAACTAGATTACCCTTAAATTGAAATAATTTCTTTTGTACAGACAAGTAAAAAATATACATATACAATATTCATTTGTATAAAGAAGTTGTACCACAGAGAGAAGTCAACCTGCTGATATTTAGAGTAACATTAACTCCTATCATGGTCAGACTGTCGGCAATTTTTAAAATCCATCTGTTGCCACGCCAAAAAAATATGATTTGAAATCGATACTAAATATCCATGGCAGATGAAGCACCTAAAATTGCACCAAAACCAAAACAATGAAGTACTGTAAAATCATCCACTTGACCTCGGCGGTTGAGTGTCGAGTTTTTGTCTGTAAATCATTTTTAGTTTACCATTGTTGAGTTTCGTTTTCTTCCAGTTGCGAATTACGTGAAGGAATCTTGAACAGGAATTTGCTCCAAAAAAGATCTTTACGACTTTGAGTGAGACAATATGACACAACGGACGAAGGATTTTAACAACCCTATCAAGACAACAGCAGTCGCTGTGTTCACTTTGAAATTCATCGGACCCTCTGTAGATATAATTTTTGGAATGAGTGTTACAGAAATGGCCAAAGGATATCAGCAAAAAGTTATCAACAGTACGTATTTTAGTGTTTCCATCACTAGATCAGGAGTTTATTATCCATTATTAAGTGTGTTTATCTCTTCACAGACAAACCTTTGTCATAAAACATCTTCTTTTGTCCAGTTTGACATATATCTTGGCAGTTTGATGCAGTTTGACAGTTTGGTAGACAATAAGACGAGAGAATTTGGCAGTTTTACAAACATTATGACTATCAATTTGGCGATTCTGAAAACAGGGCTTCAAATTGAGGCTCACAACTATCAGAAGACCATTGCTGAATGTCTCTTCGTAAGGAATAATACGTTAATAGTAAATTGCAGCCTTATCACTTACTCAAATACTCTGTCTGTGGCCTCTCTTCACACTACAGTACAGTGACTCAACTTACAATTTATTCAAATCTAACAAATATATAAATCAGGAAAATTCGTCTAAAACACAAATGTACACTTAACATAGTAAACAAAACAATAAAGTAAGCTTGGTTGACTTTAAATTAACTGGGAACACCAAAGAAATGTGACAGGAACTTGGTATCTACTGAGCAGTGGGTGCCTCGAGTTACTGAGACCTTCACACATAACAAAATCTATTAACACCTAATTGTACCATAAGTAGACAGATAGATTCAAGATATCACTCAGGAAAAAAGACTTAGCAGACTACAGTAATAGGTTTCTTTAAAGCTGTATCCCCCCCTCCCCTTACCATACTACATACAGCCAAGACACGTTACAGAAATATACTTCTTGATGACAAATTGTATAAACAACCAGACCCAGAGAAGTACAGTAGTTTAAAGCGTTGACAGACCTGCCCCCATGCCTGTTAACTCGGACATGGGGTGAGGTTCAAAGAGAGAAGGTAGTACTATAAGGCATCCTCTTCGATATCGGAGTCATCGGCGAACTGAATGTCATCGAGGTTATTTAGAATCTTGCTGCTTTGTGTGGTGGGCGTCCGGTCATCGTCGTCATCATCATCATCATCGTCGTCGTCGTTATGTTGACTCTGGTCCTGAGAGCCGTTTTGGACGACAGAATCACCTTGCAGCGAGGGACGGTCATTAGCTTCATCAGATTTGATACTTATCTGCATGGCTATTGATTTCGGGGGATCGACGTGAGGGATGTTGGGATTTTGGAGTGGGAGAGCAGTAGGCCTCGAAGGTTCCTCAGATGTGGGTGTGGCTTCGGTCAGGTTGAGTATGTTTAAAGGAATGCCCTGGTCTGGGGGAGAGTTGTCACCGGGAAAGAAAGGCGGTGCCCAGGCCAGCAGGAGTGGGTCAAGGCCAAACAAGGACCCCGGCACGGCTGAGGCGTTTTCCATGTCATAGTCATAGTAGTCGTACTCCATCTCGGTGTCGGTGCCGTTGACGGACATATCTGACACAGAGGAGGCAGCTCTCATGGTGGCGTTGGAGGTGGAGCGAGAGATAGCTGAACGTCTTACACGCTCCAGATTCATTCTCTCTTTGGCAAACTTGGGGGTCAGTCGAGAGTCCTTGGCCACTTCCGATGCCAATGATTTGCGATACTCACGGTACTTGGCAGAATTCTCTTCTCCCTTCATGTTTATATCCACAACTGGTCCCTCTTTCCCACTGTCTCCCTCGTCCTCTCGCTGTATTTCATGGATGGGTGAGATACAGCGAGTCTCGAGCTCGTCAACGGAAGCAAATCGTCTCTTCTTACGCTTGAAAGTTCCACTTCCCTTCCTCAACAAGCGTCCTAGATGTGAGGAAGACCTTCTGAGAGTAGAGGGCGTGGTGACTCGCCTGGTGAGGAATGGAGAGTTGGGGAGCGAGTGCTGGGGAGCCTCATGGGGCTGATCATTATCCAAAGGAGAATAAGAAGCAGACCTGCCTCGATGTTTCAGTGGCAGTGACACAGGTAGTTTGCGTCGAGGCACCAGAGACTTGAGTGAAATGACCTCGGTGAGCGTGAGGGTAGAAGAGGCATCGGTAGGATTCTTGGAGGGCGTGGTGGGCGGCGTGGCATATGGAGACTCCGGGATGAGCCGCGCCCGCTTGTAGAGACGATACCTCCGCCAGTGGTAGACTGCCAGCACAACCACAGCAGCCATCAGTGCTGCTACGAACACCACAGCAGCCACGTGCATCCCCTCTAACAGCCAGGACTGTGTGGTCCCTGGCTCAGTCTCCCCTACACTGCCACCCACGGCACCCAGCACACTTTTATCTGCTGGGGATGAAAAAATTATTAGGCAGGTCAATTTATGGAAAAAAACCTATTATGAACCCTAACAAAATTGCTACAAAGCGTTTTCCAATGGTTTTAATTAATGTTGGACACGGAAAAACATATAAAAATCTATCAGAGGCGGACTGCCAAAAAGTTGTTAAAACTGGGTCATTTCCAAGATGGTTGTTTCTGATGTCATACACACGGGATAACGTATTTAGTTTGTTTAGTTTTATTGGCTTTCTCTTTTCTGCTGATTCTGGGGGAACTTTAAATTTTGAAAATCTGTTGAGAATCGACTGAGATATAGCTGAAAACGTATTATAATATGGTATCTTAGCCAATACATACTGTATGTGCTTAGTTGCCAACAAATTTATTCATTGCAGACATTTGAGCTCATGATGTGCAATTTGGTATGATCATTATTATGATTTTTGCCAATTGAGAAATTGTCTTCTTTTAGTGTACATCCTTCTATGAAGGACTATATGGTAATTAGTTAGTTGTTAGGATAGCCTTATTAAATTGAATCTCAGCTACATTCCCTCCTGCCCTTTCTGAGGCTAGAAATGTCTCCCGAAAGACTGATAAGCCACAACTAGCTCGGGCTCTCATTGATCATTGTAGTAAGGCGTCAAGTAAAGCCATCACAGATACCATACCAAAAACAGAACATTATTGTCCTTGATGGAGGCTCCTTGCTGCATCGTTTATCATGGAACATAGGAGACAGTTATGGTACAATAGCGCTGTCATATGCAAAATTTACCATTCGCCATTATGGATAGGTATTGGTGGTCTTTGATGGGTAAGAGGGGGTCCACCCATTAAAGACATGACGCACTAGAGGCGTGGGCACAATATCCATCCAGTTGTCAGCTTCATTGCAGATACAGAGTTCTCAGGAAAAAGGGATGATTTTCCTTCAAGGGATTGCAACAAGCGGGGATTGATCAATATCATTAGTAATAAACTAAAGAAAAAGGATTACAATGTGATCCATGCACCCAGGGATGCAGATGTAGATATTGTGAAGACTGCAGTAAAAACCTCATGTTTTCACTCCACAACTTAGATTGGGGAAGACTGATTTATTAGTTCACCTCCTTTATCGTGGAAAACAGACAGCAAGGGCCTATATTTCCATTCAGGCAATCAGTCGAAAGCTGTAAAAGGGTATGACATCAACTGCTCTTGGGTAATGAATTATGTTCTCACTCTTTGTACAATCAAAGACAAAAGTTGTGTCGCGGTTTTGTCCCAAGATTAAATATAACTCGTGAAACATTTTGAGAGCCCTACCACAAGGCAGAGCGCACCAAAAGTTTTAGCCCTTCGGCCTATGTTTTCACCAAATTTCACGACACGACTTTTGTTTTTCATTGTACATTCTTTCACTGGATGCGACACCACCTCACGCATTTTTGGTGATGGAAAGAAGTCAGCTTACCAGAATCTTGTAAAAGGGGATTCTGTCATGGAATCCTGTGCTAATCCTTCATTTTACCAAACCAGTCAAGTGACACCATTGAGGACCTTGGCAGTGAAGTTATGGCTATCATGTTTGGTGGAAAATGTACAGATTCTTTTGCAGCCTTGAGATATAACTTATTAAGTAAGAAAATAATTTCTGCTAAATCCTTTGTGACACCTGAACGTCTTCCCCCCTACTGCATCACCTACCTTTGCTTCAGGATTTACTTCCAGATCATGGTCTGGGTTGGGAGGGAAAGCGACACGGACGCTTTGAACTGGGGTATAGAGAATGGTGGATAATCAAATGGTGCCAATAATGTCAACAACGAATGCTGCCCTTGATAATCTCCTGAAGATGATCCATTGCAACTGCTCAACTGCCTGTAGTACACCCCGTTGCAGCTGTAGAGGATCTGGGTTGCCATGTACAGTACTAGTGCTTATGGATCATGACAACTGGAATCATGTGACAACCCACACAACAGGCAAGAAGGTGATACTGGTGAGATATGGGCCATGGTTCACAGCCATAGATAACTTGTGAGGACTTTCATGATGTCAGAAGCATATTTTACACTGATAAGATATTCATATTTTTGTGATTGAATAGTGATTATATACAGTACTCTTCATTTAAATGTATGCCCAGCGTCAATTTTCGGGCATGTTGGAGTTCACTAATCGAGTCAGGATGTGACGTTAAGCAGCAATCAATCAAGTCTCGATTATGTCAGTAGGGCGTGATGTAAAAAAAAATCATTTGTCAAATATTTCTAGAATCCCTCTATCCAATTTCAAATGCAACAGTTGTACATTTAAGCATGTTAAAGGACAACTGGTACACTATTCTGGAGATATATTTGGCAGAAAGGTGTTCAAAAGCAGCCATTTTGCAGTGACCTAGTTTTGTCACTTCATAATGGGTTATGTTGACAGATTTGTTATATGTTATAAAACACACCTCAATATATCTAAAACCACCCAAAAAAAACTTTGTAGCAATTTTGGGGGGTCAAACTATACATTGACCCGTCTATATCGCCTAAATGTTAAACCAAGTGGTTATTATACCAATGTACAGTACCCAGCCCCAGTGATGCCTACCCACCTTCTCTGTTAGTATCAGTATTAGTGAAGACCGAGGTACTGTATTGATTCTTCACCCAAGACTATTTAAGCATGGAAGGTAAAACATACTGGACACTACAGGTACTAACACTCACCATCATCATCATTAATTTATGGCCATTTTCCACACCTTAGTGGGTTTGTTGTGTTTACTTGATGGCAGCTCCCCAAGTTGTACTGTCTCTTGGAGCTTCAATAATTATGAAATAAGCTTCGGAATAATCAGGTCTTATCATTGTGTAAAGAGAAATACAATACAGAAGAAAAAACGCAATAACTGACCAAGCTTGAAGCTATATCTCTGACCAAGCTTAAGACTATATCTGACCAAGCTTGAGCTATATCTGACCACCAAGCTTGAGACTATAGCTGACTAAGTTGAAAACTATACCTGACCAAACTTAAGACTATATCTGACCAAGATGAGACTATCTAACCAAGCTTAGGACTTAATCTGACCAAGCTTAAGACTTTATTTGACCAAGCTTGAGACAATATCTCCACTTAGTTCAACTGTTTCTTGTCATTAAAATCTATTACAGTATGAAGATTAAATTTCCCACATTAACAAACTCCACGAACGAGTCAAAGGTGAAACTCAAATACACTGACAAACTTATATTTAACCCTACGACTAACGTTAATTTCCAACACGCGGTAAAGAGGACAAGTGATGCACAAACAACTGACCCGTGGAGAAGACGGTGACCAGGAACCCGTAGGAAGCGGGGTTCAGGCCACTTAATGACGTGTTTATGTCCGACCGAAACTCCAGAAGTAGCTTGGACCCGGAGGAGGAGCGGCGGCGTGTGGCTGCTAGGCGTCGCTGAGAGTGTGCAGGGTAGTGTAGCAGGTCGTCTTCAGGCATGGATGAGGGTAGACGGACGAGGAGAGGGTCAGATACGTTGCCACCATCCCGCATTTTCAGCCACTGAGCTCCTGGTCTGAGAGACGCCCAGGCCACCTCCGCCACCACCTTCTCCCCTGGTGGTGCCTGTAACACACACACAAGTTAACATTGTTGTAACACACTCATGTTATCACTGTTAACACAAACACGAGTTACCACAATTAAAATACCCACATCTTAAAGCCTGTATCACACAGATTAACGCTACAGCAGTACACACTGAACAACACAGTAGTGCTGCCTCACTACCTCACCCTACTGGTGATACCACACTGCACCATCAACTGAGAATATCTTACCATAATAACAAAGCCAACAGGAACAACCACTTACCTCACAATAACACTCACAGTGGCGCTCACTTACGGTGCGAGTCACTGTCTGGTGGAAGACTCACCTCAAGGACCCAAATGGAGGTGCCGTAGCAGACAGCAGCCGAGGCGGAGACGGACTCGGAAAAGCCGTTAATGAGGCTGAGGGTACATCCACAGGAGCAGCTGTTGTCAGCTCCGGGGGTGGAGGAGGCCGCCGCTGGCTGCTGGCTGGCTGGCACACATGCTGGGCCCTCACACGACTCAGCTTGTATGGCGTCCCCCTGTGAATTGATGACTGTTGTAGTAATCTTTCTCCTCTTTCTCTCTCTCCAGGTGTGACAGTCTCCCTACTTCAAATTAACACATAAGACTTTAAGTACCGCCATGTGTAATTTTCCAGTGGTTAACTAACTCACCTGGCAAAAGGTGCCCCCGTTCCTGGGAGGTGGATTGTCGCAGAAGCGGTGACGGAGGCGCTGCCCGGAGCCACACGTAGAGGTACACTCGGTCCACTCCTTCCAGTCCCCCCAGTTGCCATTATCCCGCATCGCTGTTGGCAGGGAGAGAAGTTCACGTGTAATATACCCATGTGTCCTGGGTTCTAAGTCTTTCTTGGCTCTGACACAGGTGGAGAAAGGTGTTATCCAGTGTGACCCTCACTACCAAACATCACAGGTTTCCTCCGGGTACTGCAGTTTCCTCCTATACTAACACTGGACAATAAAGTTCATAACAAAAGTTAAAAAATAAATAAATAAATAAATAAATGAATTAAAATAAATAAATAAATAAATAAGACGGCACTAGCATTAACTGGCAATGTTGGGCATTTATAGATTTTTTTTACCACAGTGGAAACCAAAACACCTCTTGTAATAATCGTTTTTATTTTTCCTTTATTTTCTTTCTTCTTAGTTCTTAATTTTTACTTCTACTCTTAATCTTTCTTTGTATACTCGTGAGATGGGGGAGGCGAGGAGTGGAGTGAGGGGAGGGAGGTAACGGCTGGTTTAGGCCACCCTCACACCAAAGGGGAGAAGGAAAGAGACGAGGATAACTGAGACACTGGGTATGGTTGTTATTACTAATGGGTCAATGTATCACTGCATAACACCAAAGACATGTATGACAAATGTTTACTCAACACCTAAAAGGGAGGGGGGGGTTATGACAATCTTAGCGTTCTTTATTTATTGAACACCTTCTATTACGATTGACAATTATACTCCCAAACAATAAAACTATTTTCCTAGCTATTTAAACAGGGGTCACATGAATCACAATACATTTTGCAAAATGGATAAAACCTTAAGCGTACTTACATATATAATACATATCCCGCCATGTTGGGACGCCGAACTCACACATCTACACCTCACCATCCCTAACCAGACTCTGTCCTAAAACAAAGGCGGCCCACAGGCCACTTTAACTGGACGCCGCATGTTCATGACATCACGTCTCACAGGCTCTCCTTATTGGTTCAGGCCTAAGGCATTCACACTTACAGGTCACTGCAATTGGCTCACGCTTGGCAGGAAAATCTTAGGTGTATATTAATGATGATGATGATGATGATGAGTTGGTTAAATGAATACAGATTGGCACCAGTACAACATGTTAACTACAGAAACCAATGAAAATAACACGGAAAATAAACAAGGAAAAAGAGAGAAATAGAGAAGAAACAGACAGACAGAAAGAAATAATCATAAAGAAGATAACAGAATTAATAACGGATATAAAAACAATAATTCCATGGATAAAACAGATAAGAAAGATAATAAAGAATGAATGCTAACAATAAAATAGAATAAATAGTGAGCCAGAAATACGATAAGAGTAATGAAGGGTAAGAAGGGATACTAATGATAATGAAAAATAACAAATACTTGTAAAAATAACAAAAAGAATCGAGGGAAATAATAATAATAATAATAATAATAATAATAATAATAATAATAATAATAATAATAATAATAATAATAATAATAACAATACGAACCCAAGGAAAAAAATAACAATAATAACAATCACAAACGAGCCTGTAGAAAATAATAACACTGATCTGATGAAAATAACAATAGCAATACATGATAACAAATAACAATACAGCAATAGCAAAAGTAATAACAATACGCCCTGTGGAAAATAACAATAATAACAATGGCAATAACAATAACAAGAGGTATTACCGGGTAGGGAATATTGTAAGCCGCTGGTAATATCCTGTCTCGCGCCCAGAGAGGGAGTGGTGGGGGATGGAGGGTGGGGAGGGGGAAGGAGAGGTGGGAAAGGAGGAAGAGGAAGTGGTATACCCTACTATTGTCCTCTCACACGCCACTACCACCAGCATTACCACAACTAACACCACCACCATAAAATACGAACATCATTGACAACACTACTTACTACTGTCACCACCACTACCAATATTGTAATCACCACCATCACCAGTTCTGCAATCACCAGCACTACTGACATCACCACCACTATTATCACCACCATCACCACTACTATAACCACAATCACTACTATTGTCACCACCACTACTATAATCACCACCACTATTATCACTACTGTCATCACCACCACTACTATAACCATCACTACTATAATCACCACCACTACCATCACCACCACCACTACTATCACCACCACTATTAGCATCACCACCGCTGATATCATCACCACTACTATAATCACCACCACTACTATCGTCACCACCATTAACATCACCACCGCTGATATCATCGCCACCACTACTGTCACCACCACCATTACTATAACCACCACCATTACTATCATCACCACCACTACTATCACCACCACCACTACTATCACCACCACCACTACTATCATCACCACCACTACTATCATCACCACCACTACTACCACTACCACCACTTCTATGCGGTACCCGTAACTTCTATGAGATTAAAGCAGTAATGATGTAACGAGCGTCAAACATCATTAGGGGAGGCAGAGAGACGCCGACGCCTGTAGCAGCACTAGGATGGGTCATACAGTGTTATAAGAGACTCATTAACACAGTTCAGAGAGACAATAAACTTCCCAATAGAACAAAGTACACAACAAAGATATATTAAAGAAAAAATATATATTATAACAAGGTGATATAACTCTTGGAATGATCAGTGAGGCGAGGCAATAGTGACGTCAATCTCAATGTTCATTTTTTTTTTTTTTTTATTGAGCACTCCCCTACATCCTTGTGTAAGGTGAAGCGCAGAAGCGTTTACAGCGCCCAACAGGGAAGCATGCTAAGTCCATGCTTGCCTTTATGACTCATGAGTTAAGGGCGTAGAAGCCTGAAGAGTCAGTGGTTTATGTCATCAAGTTATTGGAAGCTCCAACAACTTTCCCTGAATACGAATTCGCAACTTTCGACTTACACCAGGTACCTACTTACTGCTAGGTGAACAGGGACTAATGGGGGCTAGGAAGTATGTCCAAACAACTTCCACCGGCCCGGGAATCGAACCCGTGACATCTCGCTTGCTAGGCAAGAACGGTACCGCTTCTACCACCGATCCCCCCCTCAAATGTTCATACACCAAATTATATTACACACCCCTCCGGCCCTCCCTTCACCTCTTTCATAAACAAAAACGAACACAGGAGGATGGACTAACGTGTGCGGAGGACATACTGTATGGACACGTATGGCCAAAGCAATATGCCCTTATACTAAAGTATAGACATAAAACAGTTATGGCGATTATCGTGATACATACTTACTACTTTGCTGTCACTCGGAATCGAGTATAACGATCATCCAGATTTGATACAATGATTTGAGTTAAGGATGTCATCTACAGGTAAGTTGGCGAGTTTTAAGGTGACTAAAGAGGCCGATACGGGACATGCAGAGTCGTTCTCAGATGTTGCACATGTGAATGGCTCCATCTAGTGCGGGAGGGGCGACGGCAGCGTCTTTCCGGCGCTGGCACTTGTCTGCTACGGTTTGCAGTTGCACTAATTCGAAAGTATTGACACCTTCTCTTGTGATGATCCTCCAAGCGCTACGGTGTGGAGTGATCATTTCCCAGGTAAGGGGGTCTAATTGGCACTTTTTCAAGGTTGTCTAAAGACTATCCTTATACCTTTTCAATTGCCAGCCAGCGTTACGTTTACTATTCGTTAGATGACTGTAAAGTAGCTGCTTTGGTAGTCTACTGTCGTCCATGCGGGTAACATGGCCAGTCCAACGTAGTTGTTCATGGATAGCCTCATGCTCCTACAGTTGGTGTCAGCGAGAATACTGGCATTTGTTCTCTTGTCTTCTCAGCGAACTCGGAGGATGGAACGTAGACCACGTTGGTGAAAGTTTTCAAGTGCCTTGACGTGCCTCCTGTATGTAACCCATATCTCACTGCCATAAAGCAGGGTGAGGAGGACCACTTCTCGATATACGTGTAACTTTGTAGATTATTTCAGCTCCCTACAGCTGAAGACACGGGTACGGAGTCTGCCAAAGGCTTGAGATGCAGATCTGATCCGATGTTGAATCTCTTCAGCGATGTCCGCGGTGGTGGACAGGTGGTAGCCGAGATACTGAAAGTGGGTAACATTAGACAGGATAGTACCATTGAGCTGGATGGACGGTGGGGGTGTGGCTGAACCAAGGGCAGGCTGAAAGAGAATCGGAGTCTTACGCACATTCACCTCAAGGCCGAAGTGTGCATATGCATCTGCATAGGTGTTCAGGATCTCCTGTAAGTCGCGTTCAGCGTGGGCGACAAGGGTGAGGTCATCTGCATACTGAAGTTCAGTAATGGAGGCTGCCGACACCTTTGTTCCTGCCCGGGGTCGTCAATTTCAATTTCAATTGTTTATTCCTTGATAGAGGAAGCGGGATCCTAGTGCTGTCACTAGGTACCCCTGTACAATAACACCAGAAGCATCTGGTAAGTGTGACAAGTATATACAGTATAAATATTATAAAGGGACTTACCAAAGCCTAAGGAAGGAAGGATATTCCTTTAACACATAGTCAATGTTATTTACACAATATCTGGCCAGTATGGGGAGGATCAACGTGTCTCCGTCAGGGGGTTCTGGGGTCGTCTTATTTTGAAAAGATCCTTCATCCGGTATGCTATGTCCACTAGCGCGAGTAAGGAATGCAGCCAAGAGAATGGAAAAGAGTGTTGGCGGCAGTACACATCCTTGTTTTACCCCCGTTTGGATGGGGAAGAACTCAGACTGGGTGGCATTGTGCAGGACGCTGCTGTTCATGCCGTTGTTAAGTTGCCTCACAATGGCGATGAATTTTGGTGGGTAGCTAAACCGGCTGAGGGTCCGTCAGAGGGCTTCCCTATAGACCGAGTCGAAGGCCTTGGTTAGGTCGATAAAGGCCATTTCCAGGTCACGACGCTGATCTCTGCACTTTTCCTGTATCTGGCGGGCAGCAAAGATGATGTCAATGGCGCCACGTGCTTGCCTAAAGCCACATTGAGATTCTAGGAGAAAGTATTCCGCCTCAGGTAGTAGTCTGTTTAGGAGGACTCGGGCGATAATCTTGCC